CCCCCTTTGTCTTTCATCCATTGCCCCCATCGCGCCCCTTTCGTCTTCCATCCATTGCCCCCATCGCGCCCCCTTTGTCATTCATCCATTGCCCCTTTGTCTTTCATCCATTGCACTCTCGTCAAGTTCCCTTCATCCACCCATTACACAGCAAGTGCCTGGGAACTCTTGGACCAAAGCTGCCGAACTCGAAGCTTTCGGGCCAAGCCGCTGCCTGGATATTCCGAAGCAACCAATCCTTCCGCATGCGACGCAGCGGCATGTAGAGCTCGGGGTCCTCTTCGAGGACGCCGAGCTTCTCCAACATCCTTAAGGTTTCAGGACATGTACCAAAAAGATGATTTTGGAACTTGGTGGGCTTCTTTTATCTCTAAAGCAACAAGCTGAATTCCTGACTGACACGATTTGGCCAAACCATTTTGATTGGTCCGTTTGAGAGTTCAAGGATGAGCGGTTGGCTGGCAGGCTCAAGCAGGGTTGGTCTTGATGTTCTCTCAAGAAGTACGAAGGGTTAGATTCTTAATCTTGACTTATGTCTAACAAATGTTGCGGATACTGTTCATTCGTTCGTTCATTGTTTCATTTCATTTCATGCCATTTCATCTCAATTCAATTCAACTCATTTCTTCAATCATTTGGTGAGCTGGTTGTAAGCCAAAATAAACGGACATGTACTTTGAACAACTACAACACCCCTTTTGAACCCAAAGAATGAAGAACTCATTCTTGATCCAATATGTTGCCCTTCAACTTCATACCCTGGGACGTTGGAAACCACTGACTTCGAATAGGGAACTGGCAGGACATCCGCTGGCCCAGCTGGATGGTCTTAAAGCCAGTGACCTCGAGACGAAGCGGGTGGGTCGCACACCACCCCCCAAGGAATCATGAGACCTCATACGACCTCATTAGCTTTTGGAGATGAAATAAGTCTGGCGAACATGGGACAACACACAACATACGTATCATGAATATATTTATGCATCATGTTTGGACCTCCGCCAATGGCCTCTTTTGAGGTCCTCTCAAAAATCACTTGAGAAGACCTCAAGACCAATCATGTGATGAAACTCTCGTCTGTGTTGGCAACTCTGAGGGCAACCCTGCTTGTCCACTGGGATTCCTCCTACACTCACAAAAGCCCAACATGCCACCCGGAAGCTCTCATGCCTGTTTTTAGTTGCCCACCTTCGCGACTGACCTTGCAAACATCACCGGAAGGGGTTCTGACTCCTGACCTTGGAAAAAGAAATCAATCCTATCCATTTGCATCCATTTGTTGTTTGTGAAGCAAAATGAGGTCGATTCATGTCGATTCCCAACTTGTGGAATGACCCCACCAACCACCACCACCCTTCCCACACCCCGAGGTCTGCTTTTGAGGGGCGGTCGCTTGATAGGTCTCAGCGTCCGCGGGGCTGCAACCCATCTCGGGGATGTTCGCCCAGTCCACCATGAAGCCCAAGACGTCTTGAAACGGCTTCCTCTCCACACGCGTCACAACCGGAAAAGAGCGCGCGAAACACACACGTGCGGGGGCAGTGATCCGGTTTACGGGAGGCGCCATGCGGTTGAGGCGAGGGAGGTCGTTTTTGGAGGGTTGGGGCGAGGGTGTTTTTCTGCAAGGATTCCTGCTTTACATCCCCCCCTCCCACCAGAAAATGAATGGCGACACTCTGCGGTGAGAAGTTGGAAATCAAACGCCGTCGTTCAAGTCAAGCCCCCGCCCCGCCCTCACCCGGTCACTACCTGCCAATGGCATCGCAACGATCCACAATGGACGGCTCCACGTGGTGGCTCCACCTCAAATCGTGGTCGAATGATGAAACACCTGAGGGATGCGGTTCAATGATGTTCAATGGCTAAAGACAGCTGGCTGAACTAATGGCAAGGATGATAAGCAGCAATTTCAATGTCTGTCACTGTTCTTTCTCTTCTTTTTCCACACCTGCCCACAGAACCACAGAACTTCAATCTTCTTGCAACAGGATTGCAATCTTCACCAAAAAAGTGTCCGGTTGCCTGTGGAGTCCAACGAAGTTGCCCCAAAACCGCAGGCCTGCTTACCTTCACAACTGCTCCATATTCTGCATTTCATGACGATTTTCAACACACATACTCAAAACAAACACCCAACCAGAGATGTCCATCCCAAGGCGCTCGCAGCACACCGCATCCAAGAGCAAAAAGGCGCTAAAGGGCGCCTCGGCCAGCTCTTCTCGCCGTGCCAACGTCTCCTGGCAGAACGTTTGCTGTGGATCGTGGTGGTTGAGGGGGATGGTCCGTGGTGATCCATCATTTTGGCGGAGCCATGCTGGTTGGTCTGCAGGTGAGAAAAAAAAACACATCGCCAACGATACTGAAGTTGATTGAGATTGCTCATCGATTTCCGAAGCCAACTTGCGGAGCATATGACAATTCTCCCACCTTTTGTGGGTGCCGCCATCCAACTCATCTCCCTATAACATCCCACTCCCACCTGTGCCAGGCCCTGCGCCAGGCTGCGGGGCACCGCGCGGCCGAGGCGCACGAAGGCCCAGGCCACGTTACAAAGCCCGGCGATGGAAAACTCCGCCAACAGCCGCTCAGCCTGGCGCATACGACGAAGAGAAAGCAAAGGAAGCTTGGCTTGGAGGTGCTGGGTGCTTGTTGTGGATGTGGTGGTAAAGTCGGCGGAGGGACTTGTAGGTGCACTTGGGTCTTTTGTGTTGAATTTTGCGAGTTTTGGTTTATGTTTTCCCCCCCTCCTTGTCCATCAGCAGGCGCAGAAGCTGGTCATCCAGAATAGACAGCTTCGCCTGATCTTGTGTGAGGCAAATACGAGGAAATAGGATTCATTGATACATCTGAACAACCTGGTTAGTTGTGTTTGCACAAATGGCAGCAAACTCATTGAACGCAGCTGATGATATCTTGAGATGATAAATCATCTGCTCAAAGCAGTGCTTGATATGGAACGTGATGGACAATGTGCCTTGGAGTCCCCTGCAGTGCAGGAACGATTCCTGGTTTGCTCACTCTGAACATCACGGACTCTGAACAATCAAAGGCTGTGCTCATGCATCGATGCCGCATCCGTTCACATTCAACCAGGATGAAAGCCGCACTAACTGTCGAGATGCTAATAATGCATCAAGTGAAGAAACACTTCACCAGCATCAGCATATGATCAACATAGAACCATTTCAAAGCTGTCTCAGCTGAATTATAGACAGAAAGGAATGGCACATGATGGCACTGTTCTTCAAACACCCGACATAACCTGTGGATAATGTGGAAAGTCCTAGGTAACTCCCCCACAACCACAACAACAACAGTCGATCACATCCTTGCACCACCGACAAAATCTGCTTGGTGGTTTCTACTTATAATCGACAAAATCATCGTCAGTGGGACCAATCATCTCAAGTAACTGGGTTAAAAACTGAGCATACTGTATCTAAAATCACCACCCAGAAATCCACTTCAATTCTCCATGTGCTTTGCCCAAGGGGCCATAGCCCAGGAGACGTTCGCCACATCTCGCGAGGCCAACAGCTCCATCTTCCCTCGCACCGCCGTCCGTAGCTTCCGCACCGCGTCCTGCGTGGGAAGAGCAGGTCTGCTGGAGATACCATATGTTCAAACATAGGCTGATTGAATCACGTGCTTTTTCTTTACAATAATTTAACATTATGGCATTATCAGGTTCGGCTGGTGAAGAATGACCATGCCCATAATTGGACAACTGTCCTCTTCCTCTGCCTCCTCCTCTTCCTCTGCCACTACTGGTCAGAACCAATTCATACTCCTCCCCTTTTCTGCTGCAAACATTTTCAGGCCACTTCACTTTCAAACCAATCACCCTCATCACCCTGATCTTTCTCCCAGGACACCATCTACCCAGTCTCATCCCCAAGTCGTCTCCCAGTTCCGTTCCAACCGGCGCCTCGTGGGTCCACGCGAGGACCGCGAAGCTGTAGAGCAACGTGGAGACGTCCGACGGGGCGAAGAGCTCCAGGGGACGCCGCAGGAACTCCTCGCTGATCGTCAACAAGGTCTTCCTGAGGGTGACGGCACGGCTGGGCAGATATAGGTTGACACTCTTGGGTTTCTTGAAGGTGCATGTGTGTGGTTGAAGTATATTATAGAGAAGGGGGGTCTGAAGGTCTGGATTTGGGTAAGTATTGAAGGTTTGGATTCCTGGTGTTGATGTGACTCATGCGGAAAAGGAAGGAGACAACGGCTTCAAAAACGAAGACATTCATGAACCACCACCGAGAAAAAAAAACAACACGACATATCATCACATATCACAAGACACTTCTTCGGATTGCTCTTAGCCAATCTCGGACACCACACGGGTGGATCCCAAGGACCCTCCGCCGCCCAGCGGCATGTCGCGGCACTCGATGGCGGAGAGGCCCCAGATCACATTCGACAGACCTGCGAGGGTCTTGGTGAAACAGCACAACCTCCGTTTTGATTGGCCCTATAGGGCTCCAAGGTACCTTTTCAGAAGGTATTTGGACCCTCTAATAGCCAACCCGAAACACCTTCTCACAAGCTACTTGGAGCCCTAGGAGTAGTGAAACAGCCAACCAAAAACACCTGAAACAGGCAACCTTTACAGCCTGTTTGCGGGGACTTCCGTTTTGCTCATTTGACCAACCATGGTCATGGCCGAACATGAGCAAAACAGAAGAGCCCGCAAACTCTCAGGCAAGCATCCACTTCACTTCTTGGTGCAACAGTAAAATGCAGCATGACAATACATTGCATCTTAGGTCTTAACATCATCCCTTTAAAAATAACACGGTTTCCATCCATTTTGGCAGGCCACGATACCACCACCACAATGCAACACTCTGAAAACCATCCACATCTCCAATGGCACGTCCCCGGTCCTGCTTGCCAAAACCGACCACTTCGCGACCGACCGGTCTGACCACTTCGCGCGTGCCTTGTGGCGAAAACCATTGGATTTGCCGCATGACTTCGCTGGTGATGGCGAGCACGTGCTCGTTGCGCTTGTGCTTCAGCGTGCCATAGGCCCACAAGGTGTTCGACAGATCCTGGACGAATCCGTGCCGGCGCTCTGTGCGGGAGACAGTAAAGAATCTTACCATCTGGGTGAGCTATAACAGGAACACCACTCAAAGCACATGTCATTTCATCCAAAGACTTGGTCAATGAAACCTTTTCATGAATCCGATTCATGAAACCTTATACCTATGGCAGGTCTCTCTCTCTCCGTACCCGTTCCGTGGCACTCTCCGTCCTGCGGCGCACATTCCTGAGTGCGTTTCATCAGCTCAGCTCCGCTCGCCTCCATCCAGTCCTGCTCGGCTCGGTCAAAGGCGAAGTGGCGTCTGCCCGCTCGGTCTGCCCGCGAAGTCGGCTGAAGTGATCCGCCCCAAAGAACAAGAAAACACAATAAGACACACATGCAGGAAAAAAACGAATGCTGCGATTTGATACTCGAAGCTTTGCATGGAGTTCCTAAGAAAATGTAAAAAAAACAAACGACTTTTCTGGATTTGGACCACAGTATAATACAGCTGTGTGAAGGGTGCCGCGGGTAGATGTTAGCAGGACTTTACCGACAATGTCGACTGATCCAAGCTCCGGAGGTTTCATCCGGATCACGGCTTTCGCGCAGATTCACGACGCCCGCGGGTGGGATGGAAGTCCTCGCAAAGGATGCCCAAGGTCGCTAAGCCCCAAGTGAGATTCGAGAGCTCCTGCAGGGAGCGGCTCACCAGCTGCAGGACGCTGGGGGGAGAACGGCGTAGAAAACACTTTCAAGACTGTAAACCAACAAATCTGGAAGGCATCTTTGATGGCAACTTGTTTGATTGCAAGACCATAGCAGAACAACCAAACAGGCACACCCAAGATAGATACCCCTTACGCCATCTCGCGCCCAATCCAGCACAATCATTAGCATATCAGGATCATCCAAGGGGTGCCGAATGGAAGCCTATAGGTAGTGTCGAGTGCATTGGACATTTCTTGGATGGTCCTGGTCGTATAAAACATCCAAGACCAGGATGTCCAATGGACCATCCAAGGACTTCCAGAAATCTTAGAAGTCTGAGTCTGTTAGGTAGTTTAAAGAGCGGAAATTTCTTATCAACTTCCGCTCTTTGAAAGATCGGAGTTGCACAGCGCCGGACCCTTGGACCCCCTTCCTGCGTGCCAAACTCGCTGACTCGTTCGCAGGCGTGGGTGGCAATGATTCGCATCGCAGCCTTCACGGGAAGGAGCAAAGAGAGGAAGTCCAGGGTGTTGGCAATCCCAGGTCTTCTTGATCATCAAAAGGAGAAATGTTTCCAAAGAAGTCTGTGAAGCCCGCTTATTAAAAAAAAGACACGCACACAAACGATCACAAATGTATTTCACTTCACTTGTGACGTCTGCTCAACAAAAAGTCCTTTGAATGTGAAGCAAACTTGTGTCTGAAACCGGGTAGACTCCGAAGACCCTAGAATATCCACCGCTGAGTTCAGGAGGTGAGCTGCCAAAGAATGGTAGAAAAAGCGGTCAGTCTGCGTCTGTGCTGAAGAACGGTTAGGAGTCGTCCTTTTTTGATGTTTTTGTTTGATTTTGTCAGGAGTCGTCCATTCTTCAAACGGTTGAAGATTTTGTTTGAAGCATAATCATAAATGACTATCCTGACTATCGCAAGAGTCAAAAAGAGTCAAAGATTCAACATGACTATCCTTGAGTTTAATCGATCATAGTCCAACATGTTCAATTCATCCTCGCAGCTCTGGACAACAAGCAAAGGCACCTCATCCTTGTGCATCACCGTGGCACAGGCCCAGATCAGGTTCGACATGTTCTGCGGCCTTGGCATGGGAGACCAACTACTAGCACTGGAAAGTAGAAGGTTTCAGGCTGCTGCAGCCGATGGCTAGGTACCAATAAGCCCGGTGAACCATTCACTCTCCACTGGGCTCCACGGCTTGAAGCGGCCCAGCTGTACCAAAGACTCCTCGATGATGATCCGAAAAAGCTGGTCACTTGGCTGCTGGAGTTTGGCAAAGGCCCAGCAAGTGTTCGTCAAGTCCTCGCGGTCGAGTCTTCCCAGTGTTTGGGACAGTCAAGTTGCTGAAGTTGCTGGTGCAGCGCCATGTGCAACCATTCTTTTGAGCAACGTTATGGGGCATCTAGCTGGTCAAAGAAGGACTAAAACGATCTTGTGCGGCAAGCAGTCTTGGAAGCACCTCCTTTGGTATAATTCATCAAGTCCCGTCGTGCAACTTCAGAGTAGCACACTCTCCTGTGGAGTATACTCCCGAATGTTGGCCTCCACGTGCTTTGGGACCAGCTGAAACAGCCTCAGCGCAAGGTCATCACGTTCATGTGCTGAGACAAACCCTTTGATTTTGGAGGAGGAGGAGGAGGAGGAGTCTCCCAGCATATCCCAGCATGTACAGCGAAGGGTGGAAGAACATTGTGGATGGGAAGTCTCCAGCTCCACATCAATTTCATATTGTGAAGCAGGCGGCTAGAGCATCTTCCTGAGGAGAATGGCAGTAAGAAATCATGCCATCCAATTGGGTTCTGGTGTAGTGTGCCACATTTCGCCCGTGAGCTAGAGCTGTTAGGAAGCTCATGTAATCTCAACACTGACAATAGGATTGAACAATGTAGAACACATCTTTTCCCACCTTCGCCTTCTTTCCACCCTCCCTCAGCAGCAGAAAGCACTCACCACTCACCAGCCACAACTCCACAACTCCGCACCAACCTGCAGCACTCCATCCATCCATCTCCAGGTTCACTCCGAGGAGCGCTTCATCGATGAAGCCCAAGGTGCCCAGCGCCCAAACGCTGTTGGACATGTTCTGCGCCACGAAGCCACTGGAGCGCTTCACCGCCCACCTGGAGCTGAGCTGAGGCGGGGGCGGAGGGCGGAGGGCGGAGGGCGGAGCGAGAGGCTCCTGCCATGGGGGGGGGGAAACCTAGCCCAAAAGGTCAATCTCACGAGCGGAGAAGGAACATGTGAGGAGAAGGAACGTTCCAAAAAAACATGGAAATATCTACAGTACTGGCTACATGTTATTAGTAGATCTAGTAGGTCTCAACACAGTTGGATACAGTATCCCTTCCACGTCTTGCCAAGCACTCCCACCGCGCCCGCCTGCACAGCAAGGTCAACAACTCCACTGACCTGGGACGACCCACCGACCAAGCCCGGGTTTCGGGCATTTTCCACGCGCACCACGGCAGTCTTGGGGAGCTCACGGCATCTGATATGTTTCGTTGCCCAAAGCCATTCTACAGTTGGAATTCGAAGGATTACGTCAGAAGCAGCATGAATTACCAATCCAATCGCTCAACAACGAACTTGAGATCTTTGGACCAACATGGGCCAACATACATGGTGTATCATCGTGTTGCCTTCCAAAGCAGCCCCCCCTTCAACCCATCCCATCCATGAGGGCTTGCAACTTCAGGCGCTGAAACATCAACACCGCGCAGCTCCACAAGGCGTTCGCCAGCTGCTGCGGCCGACAGCGAGCCACGAAGTGCTGCGTGAGCTGCACCAAACCGATGAAGCCTGCACCGACGCATGTTGGGCGAGCTGCGTGTGGAGATCACTGCAATTAGCAGGTGTAGTGGGGGGGCGCATTGGAGGTCTGAGGAAAAATCAGTGGATGTGCATATACATTATAAATTATAACTGTACCAAGTGTGGGGAATGCATTCTTTTTATTCCAAGTTTCCCGGCAGAGGAGGCAGATTGGCACCCACTTCCATTACTGAAGTTGGGTCGTAGGAACCATCACTACCGATGAGCCCTGGAGCAAGGCTAGACCACTCAAGAACTGGACATGTCAATCCAAGCAGTACCACGGCCAGGAGCTGGCCGTGCAGAGAACATGTTCTCTACATGTAGGGCTTCTGTCCAACCCTGGCGACGGACCGATTCCTGGATGTTGATGAATCACTTCCACCGGAGTTCGGCCATCCTCCTGACACCAAGGACCGGACCCATTGGCCCGGACCCATTGGCCCGAACACATCACGTCGAGGTGAAACCCAAGGGGGTTCAAAGCCCCAAACCTGTCGAGTTGGCCAAATCACTTCATCTGGACACATCCTCTTTTGCGATGAAAAGACTGACCGGTGCGACTCGTAGAGAATGAGGGAATGAGCTTCCAATAGAGATTCCTTTCGATCCAGCCACCCTCATTCCCTACGAGTCGCACCAGTCAGAAGATGTCTGCTTTCCGAAAACATTTCGGACCATCAGGCCAGCTGCCAGCTACCTGGTTTTCCTCACTGGCGCAAGATCGACGCAAAGTTTTCAACCCGGTCTGGAAACCTCAACTGCCGAAAAGAATGGTTGCCACACCATGTGGGAACACATGTACTGTACATCAAAAGCTACGAGTATTTGAGACTTCCCAAGTATTTCAGAAACGATCAAAGGAAATCCATCAGGTCATATCAAGTCCTCGCGGTAGAGCTTGGCCGCGCGGTGCAGGGAGGTTACTGCATTGAGTTCATCCATCACCTGAACGGCTCAGAGCTCCGCCCTCGTCTAGTGGCTCGATGTTGAGTCCACTTGACTCCTAGAATCCCAAATGAAAATAACATTGAAACAACATTGAACAAACACATTTTTAGCAAAAAAAACAGGATGGTTTTCCATATTTTTTGCGAACATGCCTCCCTTTGTGCCTCAAGTTTCGTACCAATGCGGATGCCATGAAAAGTCATGGTCTCTCAGGCCAGAATCGTCTTCGCAGCAGTGACTAGTATACAGTATGGACATCTATCTTTCAGGATAGCAGTAGAAACTTATCATTGCAAATTCAATTAGGAAACAAGAAATTCCCAGAGTTTGACACGTAAAGCTACGTGGATCGAAAATAGAATGGACTGGCTGCCACCAACTCATCTGCATCCAGGATCCTCTCCCGAGTTTCTCAGCTTCTTTGGAATACATCACAGTGCACCAGTCATCCATTAACCCACTAAGCACGTATAATTTTTGAACGAAAAACCCTAAATACTTGCGGGATGCCCCCTGGCCCCATGGAGTCACTTGCATATGTGCACTTACCAACTGCAACCTGCACTCACCACGCATCCACACACCACACGGCCGCACACCATCCGACCTCCCCCCTCTCCAGCGCATGCTCTAAGACCTCGCGCCAGCTGTGGAGCCGCATGATCTCCTGTCGTTTCATCGGCACGTCGCTCCGACCTCGCACCTTTTGGTCCCGTTCAGCATCTGGTTGTTCATCGCCCATTGCATGCACAGCCATTCTGTATGAAAAAGCCTTCGTTTTCAAGCATGTTCATCTTGAATGTTGGTAGTTTTTGATGGTTGTAGTGCAGCACAACTCAACTTTGCATAGAACCTGCTCTCAGCTCTCCCTCGCAAGCTTTCCCCACTCAAATTCCCCCCCCTGTCTGTCCCCGAGGTCCTCATTCACCGGTACCGTGAGCACCCCCATGAGTTACGGCTTTCTTCGTGAGCCCCGCACCGTTCGGTGCCGACGCGGGGCGCTCTTCAGCGGTTGCGAGGGCCCATGGAACGGTGGCGCGGTGGCCGCCGTTGAGGTCTAAACACGGCTGCTGGACCGGGTGGAATCACTTTGGTTGGTGGAGCAGGTTTGGGGCGGTGCAATCCCCAAGAATGGCAACAAACAACGTAAGAACAAATGGATTCCTATTGTGTGCCGTAGTCAGTCTAAAGACCAGCATGGAAACACATGGATAGGTGTTTGGACTTTTCTTGGAATGCCTTGATGTTTGAAGAACAGTGTAAGATGGATCGAAGGATGATCCAAGCGACACGGTTCGCGGTTTAGACGTTCCACCCCAACATGAGTAAGATTCCCAGTCATATAGATGGGACGGACAATACATGTTGCAAACTACCAACCATCCAAAGAACTCTTGAGTGCTTAAACAGGATGAAACACTCAGCAGGACCAGTCAAGCACTTGATAACTGGCTGCTTTCGCACTTTGTTGGTGTTGCTGAAGGTCTGTTTCTTGGTAACAGGGCCAAACTCCTCTTTCTCGCTCGCGCTGGCCCCTTCAGTTCATTCAGCACCACACTCTGCTAGTTCTCCAGCTCCCGGAACAGCTAGCTCATTGGGATGTGGGATGCCAACTGCTTGGAGCTCGATTCATCTTCATCTCTCGCATGTTCATGAGCTGCAAACCACCACAGCGTTTTCTTCCAAATATCTGCAACCACCAAGTGCACCTGGAGCCAGCCAACGCTTTCACCTGCCCAGCGTTGTTGGGAACTGTATCAAAACGTCGGAGCCAAAAGCATCGGAGCCTCCGCATCCGGAGCCTCCGCTGTCCTTTGCTTTCATCGTCCGGTCCAAGGATCGATGGCTTGTCAGGCGGGCCGAGGCTGTCTGTGCGCGTGCCCTTGCGTCAGCTGTTGGAGCTTCCAGTAGTGTGTGCCCGCGTGGGTGGGGCCCAGCTGGCACAAGAACAGAGGTCCTTCAGTCAAGGCCTCCGGACTCCGTTGCCTCTCACTTCAGAGTGGATCTCCCTCTTGGGTCCTGGATGCATCATGCATCAGTAGAAGGACTGCGCCCAATCCTTGCGCTTCACCTGCTCATACATGGAGATAGGCCGTGCCTCCTGGCGAGCAAGTTGGATGAAATCTCATTCGAACAGAAAACACAACTCCCTCTCACTCCCTAGCAAAAAAAAACATCGGACAGTGGTCTGCATGAATGACAGTGGCCATTTTTTAGAACGCTGTGGTCTGCATGCGGTTCGTGGGTGTGACCGGCCTCCTGGGTCAAATCCTTACCCTTTCATACCCCTTCGATGGGTGCACCGGCCAGGTCCGGCAGTGAAACACAGCTGGTCCGGGTCTGGGGGTCCTGGATCTTCGTACCCTTCGTTCCATTCAGCGGCTGAGCCGGATCCTGGCTCTTCTTCACCTGTCAGGTCGAGCGCACCGGACCGGACCGGAAAGCGCGGAGTCCCATGGTGCCGGACTATCTCCTAAGGCGCACATCGGATTAAGTAACCACCCCCTATTAATCAATCCCAGCTCGACCCCCCCCCAATACTACACTAATTTGAAACCTAGATTTTCACCTTGGCATCCCCCTAATAATCGTTTTCCTGGGCAGAAACCTCGCCCTATTAAGCAATCCCAGCTGCCCCCCCCCAAAAAAAAAATTGTTTACTAGTTATTTATATATAATTATGTTGTATTACTTTCTTTTTAGCTAGTCTCCACCTAGTATTCAATATCTTCATCTCCTCATCTTCCTGATTCTCACCACCACCTCTCAACTGCCTCATCCTGCTCACCAATCCTTTTGATGGCTTCTCCTCAGGTCTCATGCTACCAACCCAACCATCCCCCAAAACCCCAACTGCCCCATCCTGCTCACCAATCCTTTTGATGGCTTCTCATGGCACAGAATCCCATCAACCATCATCCATCATCAGGTCCAGGTCCTCATCTCATCATCCATCATCAGGTAATCACCTTTATTAGGGGGATGTCCGGATGTCCTCCTCAATACCTCAAATCTCAAACCTTGTTGACCTTGTTGACCTTGAAGGGGGGGGTCCCCGTTCATTAATCCTACGTCGACATGATATTTCTTGGACTATAGTCACTAGTCCTATAGTCACAAGATCATCACTAGTCCACAACCGAAACGAAGCTCACCTGATTCACCCCATTCCTGACACCGAGCGTTCTTCGCCTCGTCGCCGTTCACGGCTGAAGTGCGAGCGCCGTTGAGGGCCAAGGCGGCGGCCTTTCAGAGCCACGGAGGCCAACGATGACTTTCTTATTGAGAGCGGTGACCATGAGCGTGCCATGCTTTCCTTGTTTCAAGTTTACTTTATAGCTCTATTTGTTCTACACGTTTTACAGTGTGTAGTAACAGCCGGTCTCTTGATGCATCTTTCAAAAGAAGGACGTGGGCGGATGATTTCCGTCGACCCCCGTATAGGTGCCTTAGGTGCCTCGGGGTCCGGTGGCCGTCGTAGCTTCCGGCGGACCGCTGGTGGTGCCTCCGGTGTGGTCCGGTGGATCGATCTTGGGGGAGCTTGGGTGTGGTGTGGTTTTGAGGGTTGGGCAGGGGTTGCATGGCCCGCTTGGTTCATTATAAGGTAGGAACATGTCGGAAATCAGTGGTTTTTCAAGGTCAATGTACTGTAGTCAGTGTTGATTGGTGAGACTGCAAGACTGCTGTGGTGCACTACTGTAAAGTATGACTTAGGGGCTGGTCTCACATGGTCTCACTCCTCAAACACTTGTTTCATGCACATCTGCAAAACACTGACAGGAACCACTCAAGAGGATCTCAAGAGGCTACCCGCAAGGGGGTTCTAGCCTTGGCACAAAATGATTCTCAAAACGCCATTGCAAACACCAACTTCGAACAACACGGATTTGTCATCCGCATAGAACTGCCGAACTGCACACACAATCAACATGTATGTAAATAACAGCACAACGTCGTCTTGAAACATTAGCACAACCATCAATAACCATATTATCTCTCTAAATACTTTCATTTATACAAAAAACACCTAATTCGCATCAATCACCAAACTCCTCAACCCACTTCTTCTCCGAGTCTCGGCCATGGAAGACATGGGCCGCCCGCGCCCTCGATTGTCAAGCACCTCCTGAAGTCCGGTGAAGCCGTTGCCGATTCTTCAGGACTTACGTTGCAAAGGTCAAATGGTAGGTCCTGAGGCCCAAAAAGCAAGCAGCTGAGGGCCGGAAGTAGCCCTCCTGGTCATTGCCAGGTTTATAGGTCAATGGCATGTCCAGGATCTAGCCAATGCACATCCTTTGCTTCCAATCTCGGTTCTCTATCGAAGGCTTTGTGGTCCCCACAGCATCAAAGCTTTCCCCAAGGCGGTCCAGTCCGTTCGCTTCACGAGCGAATGAACCAACTCCGGTCTTTGAAATGCCACGCAAAAAAGACCGCTCAAGAATCCCATGAACTCCAAAATAGAACCTTTGAGAGGATCATCCATCAAAACAAACACCAAAAAAAACAAAAACAAACACCAAACACTGTCCTCCACCCCCACCCACCTGCGCACCTGCGGCGAGGGCCGTGGCAAGTCCGTCGCCGGCCGCCCGGGCATCGGCAACGGCCGGTCGAGGTCGCCGGAACAGTCCTGGCCGGTCGGTCGACGCGGACCGGACCGGTGGTGCGGACCGCAGTGGTGAGCTTCAAGGTCCGGTCCAAGTGAATTTGAACATCAAAAGACTGTAAAAGGTGTTCACCAGTCTTTTGATCCACAAAAGGTGTCATTTGATGATCCACAAAACCCACTGGTGTTTTTAGAAGTCAAAACATGTACGCCCCTAAGTTCCTAAGATGTTGGATGATGGCGTCGCAACGTTGACGTGCGCTGACAAAGAAATGGAAAGGGAGGTTTGGACCGCTGCTGAGGTGCCAAAGGTTCAAGGAAATGGCGGTGTTTGTCCCTTTGCTTCAGTGTCACAGCTCGAGTTAGGATAAACTACTCCTCCATACCCACCTGAGTTGGGTATTTCTTCGCGCTTGTCGTATAAACAGGTAGATTGACTCGGACTGATGACGAACCAGTGAAAGCTTGACCTGTTCTCATATGCGCCTATTGGCACGGAACTGCAGGTTTACGGGCTTATATGCTAACATGCCTCCTTGGTATCATATTGGAAGACAACAAGTTTGCATTTACTTTTCAGGTGTCTTTACAGGTGAATGTGTCATCAAAGAATTCTAGCTTCAAGTGCTCCTCTGTTGCCTGCTCTTGGGAATCTATCCTTCTTTTCCCCCTTAAATCGCCATTTGGGAACATATCCGAAAATACAACAAAAGGACCCCTCTTCCAAACCACCAACCACCAAGTCTTCCCGTCATCTCCTACAAAAATACACAACATCCACCCCAAAGGAACTCTCTCCCATCACCTCCGTCCACCGAAATCTCTGCGGTCTCCTCCGAGATCTCGCAGACCTTGCGGATGCTGAAGGACGCCCGCAGCGAGACCTCCGGAAAGGCCTTCTGGAACTGTCGCAAGGCACCGAGGCCTCGGCGCGCTCCGACGGAGCGCTGCACGCAGCACGCAGCGCACGGACGTGTTTCCAAGGTTTCCAGTTACCTTGACCATCTTCAAAAGAGCAATTGAACTTGGCAAGCTCCTTTTCTGGCGGTTTTGGGGTGTAGAAATGTCCTGTCCCAAGGCCTCAAATGTACCATGTATGAGAAAATACCACTCCGTGCTGAACCACTTTGACGTCAAAAGCCCAAAATTCCTCACGTTCCCCAACCGGACCGAGGTCAGATCCAAATGCCGAGCTAGCGGCATGACAAGCATGGGATCTCGCTCACGTCCAAATGCAGAGTGGCACCAGCTGATCCACTGCCATGTTTCAACAAACGGTCCTTGGCAACAGCACTCTTCACCCAACAAACACTGAAACAAATTATAAACCAAAAAAGCTTTGGTTTAAAGCTCTTTACACTCATCGCCTGCAGAAAAGCAAGAAACAGCTGCTTTTGGCTTGGTTTGTTGCTTTGTGCATCTTTGGTCCGTGCGCTGCGTCTGGTTTTCACTCATGTACCGAGGTGCGGCGGCTTTGTTGAGCACCTGGAACTCCGCGTCGTTGGCACGAGGATGTTCCACCAAGCAGTGCACCAAACGGATGGGCTCGTCCATGGCAGTTCCACTGGCCACCACCTGGTGCTGAGGGTGGGGAGTATGGCAGGAAGTCTGGTGACTGATGGGTCGCAGGTTCAAGTCTTTGAGCAAAGGATGTCTGGTCAGTGGAGGAGTTGGAGAAGAGGTAGGATGGGAGAGTTGGTTCGTTTTGTTCTTTTTTTCTGTTGCAGGAGAACGGGAGGGGTTTGTTTGGAATCCCATCTAACTGCCGCTTGGTGCCAACTACACTGAATGCCTAAGTCTTAGAAATTCCATTCTATCATCATACACCATCACACGATGACTCTCCTCAGTCCCCCCTTGTCCCTGCCCAACAGCGACAAGAGCCCCCGCACCTGAGGCTCTTGCAGAAAGGAGCCATCTGGCAGGGTCAGTTGCCAGGTACCTGCAGTGGGCATGACTAGGCCAACCGGTTCACGCTCTCGCGATGAAGGGTCAACTGTTAATTGGAGCTCTTTCCCCATCTTGCTGGCCACCAAAAAAGTTCACACATGTTTTAAGGTGTGATTTGAACTTTGATTTTGAACCAACATTGGCAGACCTTAATCACGTTCAATGAAATCTGCACTGTTTTGATTCCGTCTCTTCAGCACACTAACATGCCCTCAAACTTCTCGCCAGGCTCTTTTCCCATGTTCCTCACTTGGGCGCACAAGTTGTCTTGTGCTTCATCGTCGCATCCGTCGGATCTTGCTCATATGCCTCGGGACGTACGCACTACGGCAAACATGTCTGTGGATATAGATTAGATGCCTTCACGACTCTTGGCACCTTGATCCTCCACCGAAGAACATCTTGAAGCAAAGAATGCAGCATTTAGACCGCAAAAAAGGTGTGCAGGTATCTTTAGTATGAGTGCCGCTGTATTCAATGCATTTCTCGTTTCATTTTCACTCGCCCAAGCCAGTTGAGGTCGGTCACTCCAAGCCATTGACCTTTCCAACCAAAGCAGGCCAGGTCGCAACTTGGATGTTCCGCAGCAGCCAGTCCTCGCGCATGCGCCGCAGTGGCAAGTAGATCTTGGAATCATCTTCCAACATGTTGAACTTCTGCATCATCCTTGGCGCCAGGGGCCGAAAAAGAGCACGGTTCTTGGGAACGGTGCACGACAATCTCGGTGTCGTGTGGGAGCTTGGGATGGAGCAGTTGGAAGAACTTCTTTGCTTTGAAGCCACGGATCCAAGTGTTGCTTTGGTCGATGTCCATGAAGTGGGCAGAACCTTCAAATGAAAAGAAACCATCTTCATCCAATGCTAAGCAATTGTGGGAGCACTGGGATGCAAAGCCGCGGAGATAACATTGCAACATATCGCAACAACACCCTTGGCAAGCTGCTAGAACTCTCTGAAGCCAATTTGCCGACTCTGTAGAGAAACATCCACCCTCCCCGTTCTGACCCGTGTGCTTTTCTGCTTCTTCAGTGAAGGACACCTAGCCCAGCTGGACATCCCAGGCACTCGCACGACATCCGCTGCCCCAGCTGGATCGTCTTGAAGCCAGTGACCTCGGGAGCTTCGAACGGGTTCCGAGCACCGTGGGCGAGGGCATGACCTCCCACGTTGGAGGTGGCACAGACTCTTTTGCATGCCCTAGTGGCCCTAGTGTTGGACTGAAGGTGACTCAGGGCAACCCCTTGTGGATGTGAAACGGACAAAAGAAGCGCAAAAACATCTTCATGAATTGATTCCTTGCACCACAACTCGAGCGGACATTTTTAAATGCAGGTTGAGATTGGATCTTAGAGCCAGGTTTGCCCCACAATGCCCCACATCTTCCGGCTGGGCGACCTGGCTTTGCAACAAAAGGAGATGGTGGAGTCGTCGATCTAATCCGGACTCTTTTGATTTCAGTAATCCACTTCAGAATTGTCTAAGCAGGTCACTTGGGTTTTGGAAGCAGGTCAATTGTCTGAGCGTCACCCTCCAATGTAATGACGTCTGACACAAAGCACTCCAAACAATCCCTGCAACCATCATCATACATCTATGTTTCATCCTTTACCGACTTGCCACACATCCCAGTGCATAGATCTAAGATATGTCTTCAGAACACCTTGGGTTCCACAACCGTATTCCAGTCTACTTACTTCGGTCATCCAATCCAACCAGCTGAGGTGTGTCCTTTCACACGAAGGGGAGGACTCCAACATCTTTCAGTTGCTATTTCCGACTCCCCTGGTTCCAATTTGGATGACCACCCACCCTTTAAAGAGCGCCTCACACGGGGCCCACGCCGCTACGCGGAACTGCCCTCTTTTGGTTGCCTCGGCACTCGTGACTGATAGGTCTCCACTTCGCCACCACCGTTGCCCATCGTGGGGATGTTGGTCCAGTCTTCCAGGAAGACGAGCACCTCTTGGTATGGCCACCTGGACGAATGGAAAGGCCGCCAGCCTAGCAGTACAAGGCTTATAGGCAGTATGCCCTGTTGGAATGTTCCAGAATAACAAGTTAAATCAAAGGAGGTTGCCTTGCGGCACGCAACTATTGTGGACAAACAGTGAAATGTGTGCTGCAACTGCTTGCACTCATTCTCTCAAGCCGTCATTTTGGGTGCTATAAATGCTCCATGCGCGGCAAAGCGGCTCTAGCCCCAAGCAAAACCCTATTTTTCAGTCGAGGCCTATACACCCCAGAATCTTGAAGATCAGTGATGCCTTCCGTAGGGCATTGGAGCCAGCGCATGCGAACGGAGCGCGCCGCCATCCGGCCTGCCGATCGCATCGCATCGGTCCAAGACGGAGGGCTCCACGTGGTGACTCCACCTGGGCGGTGCCGGTGGCCCAGCTGACCGAGGGTGGCTCCACTGGGCTAGGATTCTTGTCCAGCATGTGAAATGGAGCCCCATTGATTTGCGGCAAGTCCAGGTGAACAGAACAGGTGATGCTTGAAACATCAAGGATATACCGCCGTTCTCGGAGATCACTTGTTCAGAAAGAGTGAAACATGCGTTTTCATTTGTATCCTCTTCTAGTTTAGGGCCCTTCCTAGCTCTAAACATCTGTGCAAACAGCCAGTCTGCAACGTCATGCTCACACTCCTTTTATACAGCTTGGCTCAAGCTCCAAATGAATAGCTCACAAATGGCGATCTGCGCTGCGAGGTGATAGTAAAGGTCTCCAACTGTACAACTAACTGACTAACCTTTCTTCTGACGTCTGTCTTTCTTCCTTCTGTGACGCCCCTTCTTCCTCTTGATTTTTGCACCTGAGTCAGGAACCTCTTCTTCTTGGCGCCTGTGCGGTGGTAGTGGCGGCGGTGATGACATATTGATCTGCGTCTTCTGCTTTGCACCTGGTAGTTGTGGTCGTTGTGGTGGTGGCCACGTATTGGCCTGGGTCAAGAACCCAAGGTGGCGAGACAAGAAAGATCCTGCCCATCTCATTGGTGTCTGGAACGCTACCCGGCAGACTTCAAGGGCTGAAAGTGACCCACCACTTGTGAGCATGCCTCCAGGTGGTCCAGACGCATAAGGACCTGCATAAGACGCATAAGGACCTGCATAAGACGCATAAGGACCTGCATGAGACGCATAAGGATCCGCATAAGGCGAAACATAGTGGCCGGGTGTGGGTCTATACATTCTTCCCAGAAGTGGCGAGCACTCCAAGTCCGAGTCGAAGGCATCCTCTTCAACTTTAGCTCTCTCTGGAAAATCTTCAATTCGTACAGAGGAGCTAATTTCACTAAAGGCACGACGTCCAATGTAAACAACTGAGTTTGACATCCTAAGATTGGACAAAGACTCGCAGCCGTAGAAGGCACCATCGGCAATGGACACCACCGAATTTCCAATGGTCACATTCAGTAGATTTCTGCAGCCTTTAAAGGCACAATCCTCTATGCAGGTCACAGAGTTCGGGATTGTTATTCCTGTCAAAGAAATGCATCCTTCAAAGGCATCATCCCAAATCTCAGCCACAGAATTGGGAATGGTGACACTCACGAGATTGCTACAGCCTCGGAAGGCACCCTTTTCAATGTTCTTCACGAACTCAGGGATCCTCACCACACGCAAATCCTCCACATCACAGCCAGCCTCACGCTGCGTGCAACATGTTACCTCTTTGATTTCGAAGACAACTTGCACATCAGCATATTGAAATAGTCCTGCCTTGTTCACCGTCATGTCGTTGTTGTCCAGCCTGTTTTTCTGGAAGACCAGTCCCACATTTGTCTTCATGCGTTCAACCTCGTCTTTTTGAGGAATATATTCTCGCAAGAGCGATTTCAACTGGCGGATCCTGGTGGACGGAGTCACTTCAAGATCCGCAAGATGCTGACCACTCAAGAGATACGTCTTTACTTTAAAGGTTTCCATTACAAACTACAAATTGTGCCACAAGTGATGGATTTGTGGCACACTACATGTACACTTGCTTCTCGAGCCAAGAGTTCAATCAAATCAATGATGTTATCCTATCCTCCAGCTACATTCGCATGCATTACTCTGAGCATCTTTGAGCCCAGCTACAAGTACGGTCATCTGATGTCATCTGCAAATTCTCTTCTCAACCTCACTTCCTCCTGCCTCCAATCACAACTCACCTCCAAGGACACACGCCAACAAAACACACATTGATCCTGTGGCCCTCCCCAAATCGTCGCCGGGCCGTTCCGACACGCGAAACCGACACTGCAGCCGAGGCACTCGCTGCACACGGCGTCAGCGAGGAGCACCGCGTCGCCGGGTTCGTCAAACAGCTCCTCCCGGCGCTGCAGCGTCTCCTGGCGCCCGTGCGGTGCTAGTGGTGGGGCCCCGGGACTCCCCGAAAAGCCGTTGAACGAAGGAAGTCGCAGGTTTGCTTGTCTCGAAATGGTGCGATATGGTGTGGCCCATTTTGACTTCCCACTTTTGATTGACTGACACAGTTGGAAAGACATGTCATGAGCAAATGTGAGGATGAACATGGTATCTGTCTCTTACCTCACCCTCCAACAATTGAATGGAGACCTCCCAGAAGCTCCAACAACCCTGGACCAAAAGAATACCTCTAGGCTTGGTGCTGGAACATGCTGGAACATGATTAACCTCACTCTCCGGTGTGCACCTCCTCCTCCTCCTCCTCCACCCAGTCCCACCACACTGCCCTGCCGCGCGCCTGAGCCAAGCCGCGCGCCAGCCCACCGGACACCGGCAGGCCGAAGCGGACGAAAGCCCAAGCGACGTTGCAAAGCCCGGTGACGGTGAACTCCGGCAGCAGCTGCTCGGCCTCGGAGCGGACCCCGGTGCCGTATGGAGTCGGTAAGGAGGCGAGAGGTTCGGATGGGCCAAAATGAAGGGGGGAAATAGTGGTTGAGCTTGTGGAGCAACTTGTAGGAATTGGTGTGGCTCAGTCTGTCTCTAGCAATTGGCTGGATCTCAAGCATTCTCCATTTGCAACCGTCGCAAGCTCAACGGAGCTGCAAGCAAGCTGGGGCAGGGGAATTCCGAGCGCGCCTTCTCCATGAGCAAGCGAAACAGCCGGTCGTCGCGCAGGGACAGCGTCACCTTGCAAGGGCCGAATGAACAGCGGGAAGCGGTCTTCTTCGGAAGGTATAGACTACAGGGCACACGTGCAGCCAGGAACTGAAACATCAGATCATGAGGCCAAGAAACATATGAACCGAACACGTTATTCAAGGTGCGACACTGTCATGATGAGACACTTTCAATTGATGGTTTGTGACCTTTACATGGGAAGTGCCCCACATGGGAAGTCCTCATTCTCTTCGAAACCCGAAGAGAGCGCACATGGGAGTAACCGAATTAGTCAAACTGCTTCGGTGCAACCCTTGGGGAGCTGCCGTCAAAGTATTCAAGTAATCAAACAACTATTATTAACTTAATAATACAAAGGAGATCAGTGGAGTGGAGGATTTCCACAAAACGACAATTCAACACACCAGCTTGTAGTCATCCCTTTAAAAATAAACATTTAGTCCACATATGTCCACATGTCATATGACACGGATGTTATAGATATACCACGTTGCATCCCTCCATCTGTCCCACCCACCCACGCTCTCTAGCCCTTTGCCCCCAAGCGACCATGGCCCAGGAGACGTTCGCCACGTCCCTCGAGGCCAAGCGATCCATCTTCGCCAGCACCGCCCGGCGCAGCTTCCGCAGCGCGTCCTGCCGTGGAGCGACGGTGCTGCTGGCGACGTGCTGCGGGGGTGGAAGGAATACGGCGAAGGACTTTAGGAAAACACAAAAAAACGCATGTGCAGTTTCTTCCGGGCACAGGAATGGTCAGGTTGAGAGGTTGTCTTGCATGCCACCCTAAAAAGGTGTTGCTGCATTGTTCTCAGAAAAAACAGACTTGGTTTAAAATTTTAAATGCTTCACTTCTTCTTTCACATTGGTCTTTGATGGTCGAACTGGAACACGGAATCACCGAACTTCTTTTAGCTGTTCAACTTCACCGACGCCACGCGCTGACACTCACCACGCTTCATCGCGAGCTTCACACGAAGAAGCACCTCGTGAGTCCAGGCGAGCACCGCGAAGCTGTAGAGCAACCTGGCTCGCCCGGATTCTTTGAAACACCGGTGGTTCGGCCGTTTGTGGCAGTGGTTCAGTTCGGTCCGGGGCGTTTGGTGGGATGGGGTGTTGCATGAAAAAGGCGGGGCTGGGCATGCAATGGCTCAAAGCAGGGTCTTGAAGTCGTTGACCACTGAATGGTCAAGGAACAAAATGAGTCTATGCGCACCGCTATGCCGTGATGCCATAATGCTCAACGTTCTGACCATTCTGAAGGTCCCACAAGGCCAGTCCGTCAGATCCCTCCAGGACGATGGGAGATTTAAGAAAAACTCTTGATGAATAACCCCTCCCATTTGAATTGGACATCCAGCTGCCCCCTGTAGGATGTCCAGGTCAAGCCCCTGCAGGATGTCGAGCCACGTGGAGATATCCGGCGGCGTCAGCTGCTCGACGGGCCGTCGCAGGATCTCCTCGCTGATGCACGTCAGCGCCTTCCTCGGGGGCGGCGGCAAATCGGCGGCGCGCGTGGAAGTGGAGGAAGTCCCGGAAGTGTCAAAGGAAGACGGTGAGAATTTGGAACAAAAATGATCAAAATAGATCCTTGCCAAGGCTGGAAGAGCCATGGACCGTGCCAGAGAAGGAAATAAGGAAGAGAGATTGACTTGGCAACTGCAAAAGCAAGAAGGTTGGCTTGTTATTGAGACAATGGCCAGTTCTTGAGACAGCAATTGCTTTCGGAACAGTCCCCCTGCCAGCCCAGTGTCATGTCGCGGTATTCGACGGCTGACAAACCCCAAATCACGTTTGATAAGCCTGGCACTGCTGGCATTCAGTCACATCAAGCAAAATAGAATCCGAGTGGCCGAGTGGCTCTTGCAACTCATGTCACATGAACCACATTGAAAACAACTCGTCGCACATGCAATCAGAATCACAAATCAGGGTTGTGAAAGCCGGTGGCTGTGGATCATTCATTCTTCCTTTTACCACTAGTTGAGCTGCACTTACACCACATTTGCACATCCAGCTGTCACGTGGTCTCCCTACACTGGCAAAGCTCCACCTGCCTTGCGGCGAAAACCATTCGATCTGACGCATCACTTCCCAGTTGATTGCGCGAATGTGCTCGTTGCGCTTGTGCTTCAGCGTGCCATAGGCCCACAACGTGTTCGACAGATCCTGGCGGTCCAAAACGCACCAAGCGACCAGCGTCCATGATTGACAGAGTCTGAAACATGATCTTGGATCAGAGGTGGATTGAGGTCAGCTTTGATTGTGAGTACTCTGCAAGAGAAATATGGTCAAAGGAATCCCCAAACTGCATCCAAGTGGTTGCACCCTGCAGCTGGAGCATTCTACTCAGAAGGAGTCCAACCTTTATACATACCAAAGGTCCCAGCTCAACAACACATACATTCTCTTGAATTCATGTCCAAGGTCACTCTTCTGGATGAACATGTGCATTTGTGGATGAAACTTTCTTGATCACCTTGGGCGTCTCATTTGGGGCAAAAGGGTGCAATCCCTTCACTGCGTGGCATCCCTTCACCGTCTAAGATGCCAGCGCTCCTGTGGCACACATTCCTTGCAGTGTTTCATCATCTCAGCACCGCTGGCTTCCATCCAGTCCTGGAAAGAAAAAAACACACAAATAACTACCAAATAACTATAATATACTATGACCATAACACATAACATCAAACAACTATATATTACTCATATGGCTGGGGCGTGCGCTGCGTCTGTTTCATCGGCTCTGGGTTGTTGTCATTAAGAGAACCTTGGGTGTTTCAAAGCAAAGATCATTGAGACTCTCCTTATGAGCAAAGAAACGCCAGGCAACAAGGTCCATTTACACCTCCAAGCAATCCTCAGAAGTCTGATGAATCCCTAGAGATCCCTAGAGTTCTGAATTATTAGGTCACTCACTGCACTCTCCCACTCACTGAGAAAGGACCCCTGGAAGTAATCTCACCCCCCCTAGCTTTGTCAAGGAAACTCCTCATTTTATTCAGCGAACCAACGGCTTTCCGCAGCGAAAGAACCACTCCGTCCATGCGACAAAAAATCGGCGGTGTTGGGGCCCTGTCCTCACAGAAGATGCCCAGTGTCGCTAGACCCCAGGTGAGATTGGACAGCTCCTGCCAACGGAGCGAACGGCGAAAAAGGAAGCCCATCCGATGTGCGATCGGTTCACACCCAATCGACTCGACTCCCTTGTTGGGGCCGCATAACTCATATGGCCTTCACGCCGGTGGAGGTCGCATGCCAGCCTTTCAATTGGAAAAGGGTTGCACAAAACACCCAGGACACCGGAGATGGATCCTGACGGAGTAGCCTTGGCAACGAATCTGCACCCTTCGGCACACGCGTTCCCCCCCTCCGCTGGAGGGTGTTCGGGTCCCGCGGGCAACGCGGAACGCTCCTGGGTTCCAAACTCGGCCACACGGGCACATGCACTGACGGCGATCGCCATCATGGCCTCCTGAAGGAAAGGCATTCATTGAGTTATGGATTGAGTCATCGTGTCACTCACGCTACTTGGTTGCTGCCTTGGGTTGTGAACTATTTGCACAAGCAACAGTCCATTTGTCTGAAGAACATACTATTCCATTGGATTTCAGAAACCCAAGTTCAGGTCGCTCCTCCGCTCCCCATTCAAATCAGATCCACCAAACCAATCTGTACTACACACTCATGCCTATGGCCTACACAAAAGGACTCTGGTTCACACCAATACCCTGCAATTGAGGAGCTTTCACGAAGCGGCCCTTGCAGCTCATGCTGTTTGACAAAAGTCAGCCCGTGCCTCATCCTTGTACATCACGGTGGCACATGCCCAAACCAGGTTCGACATGTTTTGAGGCCTCAAAACAATCGCACAGGGGCAAAAAACACCTTGTGTTTAACTACGTCTACGTAATTATCAAATGATCTCAAATTTGATGGAATTTGCTCTGAGAGTGATGGTGTGGTTGCTCAACTCAAGCTTGAACACTCACATATGGCCCCACCGAGCATGTCGTGGGTGGCGCCAAGCGGCTGGAAGCGACTCAGTTGCATCACCGACTCTGCGAGGACCCAGCGGAAGAGCGCGTCGCAGGGCCGTTGGAGGCGCGCGAAGGCCCAGCAGGTGTTGGACAAGTCCTGCGTGCGCATTCCGCGTTCGCGTTCGGCCGTAAGGCAGTTACAGTAAGGCAGCTATAATGCTTTAAGGAACTTATAAGGTGTGGGATGTGATTTTTGATTTGGTTGTCTTTTGGCTTGAAAAGGTTTGTGTCTGGAAACAATGATAAACACTGGAATCAAAAGAAACAAGGAGGTGACAACATATCACAGTGTAAGTTGATGACCAGGTAGAAGGTGGACGTATTCTGGAAAGCGACCTGCGACCTTAGATACAACCACACCAGCCTGGCCACCGCCAAAAAAACACACACACTCTGCGCAGGTCTGGCGCGCAGTCAGTTGATCTGCATCTAACATACACGACCATTTGGCGGTCTTTGGGAAGATGAGTCTTCCACCCCCCAACAATTGCGGGGACTATGGACTATTGCGGGCTAAACCGTTCACTTTCTTGCACATCCATGGGTTCACTCTGACTCTCAAAATTCTTCCCTCTCCTGAGGGCTGTAGTCTTGAAGGTTGGCCTCGACATGCTTGGGAACCAGCTCCAACAACCTCAGCCGGTCCAACGTCCTCAAGGTGGATCGGGGGGGCTGCAGGGCTTGTGGTGGGATGCGACCTGGAAGCTGGCTGTGACCGAATCTTTGGGAGGGCAATGGGAGGGCAACGTGGCAACTGGAGTCTTGGCTGGAGTGTTATCATCAAAAATGGTACCAATGGTCCTCCTCCAATGCCAAAGCACTCAGCAAATTGAAGATATGTGAACAAACTTGTCGGTTTGTTGCAATGAGGGAATAGACCTGCATGGGTCATGCCTAGACGCCGGACAAGACTCCTCCCTAACCAAAGTTGGGGCCCCAAAGCCTCAATTAGACAGAACCAATGTTCGCATCATCTTAATTACATGAAGGGAGTCACTTTTCCATCTTTTCCATTTGAAGGGGTATTGGACTTGAACAGATTAACCAGCACCTTCGGTCGCCATGAGCAGTGCGGCGCAGCAAGAAGCCCTGGGTGTGAGCCCAGTGACTCTTCGTCCACGAAGCCCAGCGTGGCCAAGGCCCAGATGCTGTTCGACACGTTTTGCGGAACGAAGTTGCTCAAGCGCTTCACGGCCCATCTGCGCTAGCCGGCGCTAGCCGGGTACAGCGGGTACCAGCCACCGTGGCAATGAACCAAGACATCTGTCAGTGTCTGTTCGTTATACTTTTTTGAGTCCAAGAACATCCATAGATTGAGGCAGGAGATATGTACAAAACAACTCCTTTGATGCCCCCTCACAGTTCGCAAGTGAGTGTGGTTCAACCAAAAATGCGTTTTTTCGAAACGAGCTCATCTTCAACAGCGAAGAAGCTCATGAAAAAACTCTCCGATGGTCCCAACCTGCACAGCAACGTCAAAAGCTCCACTGGCCTGGGCCCGCACCGCAGGCGGCTTACCGTCCGGATTCTATGGAAAAAGGGGATTCTCCAATCTCCATGTACTGTAGAAAGTGCAGTGCAATGTGATAAGCAAACTTGTGCCAGTCAGTTCCAAATTCATGAAGCATTCCTGGTGGACCCTCCAAAGCTCCTAAGCTAAGGATGTGGGAACAGCAAACATCGAGCAAGTCTCTTGTGATCCAAGACGCTTCCATTGGTCCATCAGTCAGTGCTGATAGCTTAGCTTCTGAGACACCGTGGTCCAACTGTCGTGTTCAATGGAGCCCTCTCCGTGCAACGACCGACCGCATTGCGCTCACCTTACCCACCCACCTCACTCGCCTCACCCCTCATTCCTTGCAACTTCAGGCGCTGAAACATCAACACCGCACAGCTCCACAAGGCGTTCGCCAGCTGCTGCGGCCGACAGCGAGCCACGAAGTGCTGCGTGAGCTGCACCAAACCGATGAAGCCTGCGGACCGGACCACCCGCGAGGCGTTCGTTTCACCGGTTCTGTGGTGAAGACGAAAGCGGACGAAACCATGCAAAGGTGGGCCCAAAGGTGGGGTCAGGATTCTTAGCACTTGAAATGGCACAGCCGAAGACAGGGGGGTGATGTTTTCTTTCGACTGAGGGCCGCCCTGTTTTTATTCGATGTATTAAAGCATCTCAAGGCCGAGTTCCCTATAAACCTTCTCCTCAAACACATCCAACTCGAGGCCTGGATGGTGATGGATCGCATCTAATGGAGTTCGCCCGTCTTCCTGCGCCAGCTGAGAAAGCGAGACCACAGTGCCTCTTAGTCCAGAAACGATGACATCAATCACATGATTGGCCACTTCTTCGGCTCCAAAGTGATGTCTTACCAAACTCAGCATCACCAAGCACCGGATCCAAGCACCTCCCAAGTTGTCACGCTCCAGTCTGTCACGTGCGGTGCAGTTTCTTCTTTGGGAATGAGTCATGGATGTGAATACAGCATTTAGATACCCAACACGTCCTGAAGCTACCACCAGAAAGAATACACTCTCCGAAAAAATGGGTATACTTCTACACCCACCAGAGACCAACCACCAGCCACCACCTGTTTGGGTACTCGGATCAAATAGGAGCTACCGAAAGTCCAACCACCAGGCCATCCACGCTAGCCATGATGGTTCCAGGTAGTGTAACCTATCCCTTTGGGGATCCTTGCGGATCTGATTCGGCAACTCAGAGCTGGAAAGCCTAGCATCGTTCTCTAAAGGACTGAAGTCCTTTCACTTTAAGCTGGAGAGTCAGAGTCTCTAAACCCAATCCGTGTCTGTGTCTCATCTGAACCAACCTCTCTCTCTCTCTCTCTTTCCAGCGTTGAATCTTTCCGGAACTGCTCACACCTTTGCTACCGCAAGTCTGCACAAGAGGCTTGAAGCTTAGACCATATGTTTACATTCGCTCTTCGAGGGTCTTCGACCTTCAAAGCGAAAAGACGCTGTCGTCGACAGAAACCTCCACTGACTGCTGTGAGACAAAGGAGTAGAACTCGGCTATGTCGTGCTCCACATATGGCACGCCCAACCTCCCGGTCTCGTACGGCACGCCCAATGCACGAAGTGGAAAACACCCGCCGAAAATCGAGCGGACAACCGTCATCCAAGTATTTCCATGTTTTGCTTTTCTCTCATGCTTGTTATTGTGAGGGCGTAACTAGTTCACATTCTGAGAGCTCACCTCCACGCTCCAAAACCCACATAAAAACACACGTGAGATCCATCAAAACAAAAAAAAAGAAACACACAACATAAAACACCATACAAAACTTCACCCCCAAAAACAAAGAACGACTCTAAGCCACTTATCCAGGTACGCCACCTCTGCCGTCTGCGAGGCTCCAAGGCCTCCGTTCTTCCTGGCGCGATCCTTGGCGGCCTGGTCGCCCAGCTCATCCCAGGAGAGCTTCCCAAGACCTCGACGGCCCTCGAAGTAGAAGACGTGTAAGGTTTGATGCAGCTCCAGTGCTCGATGGATGTTCTTCTTCCATTGCCTCCGAAATGGAACATGAAGAAAATTGGGAGGAAGGAAAACTACATAGAACATCTGAGGAAACTAGATAGAACACCCAAAAACAAAGAAATAACACATCGATCTCCTACTACGTGCGTAGGGTTTAGCTTGGATTTTGTGCGCGTTTGTGAGGGCTTCCCGTTTACTACCCCCTTTTTCTCGAGTCGAGCTGCCTAGAAAAGGGAAAACATACATCAAGCAAACTATATCATGCTTGTTTGGTCATGTATAGGGGAATTAGGCTGCACAACGAAAGGTCTGTACATCAAAAGAATTCAACACTTAGATGAACTCGGTGGCGAGCTACTCGAACCATTCACAGCCCGGGGCAGTTCCTCTCGTTCCTCTCGCGGCGTTGAGCCTCAGAAACTCTTCTTCGCTCAAGATCGATCCGGATCTCAAAGCCCCTGAAACAGGAAAAACCCTGAGGCCCCCCAAAGAACCTTCAAAGACATATTGTCTTTCAATGGGGCTGAAGTGGTGGAGTCTAGACATTTGATTCACTTGATGTAGGGAGATGTAAATGACTCACATGCATGAAGACTCCTAAAAGCGTCCTAAGACCATGCAACACTTGAATATAGGACGTATACTTGCAGTTTTTGGCTACAGCATTGCTATATATGATCTGTGAGCAGTATCGACCAATGGATCCACAACCGGAAATGATCTTGAGCTCTGTTGACCCTATATACAACGTCAAACCCCAAACTGATGAAGTCAAAGCACCGTAGCAAGCCAACAGCAAAATCTGACCCTCAACGCACCGTGGAACAAGCTTTTCAAACGTCTTGCAATGATTGGAAATCCATGGCAATCCCCCTACTTAGTGCAAATTTCAGAGAATCTGTGGGGCCTAGCCCAGCTCCCTCTGACTTCAATCACAGCAACAAACTCTCGTGTGTTCTTCCCCCCACCCTTTCACTGCCCCGTGTTTCCACCTCTCCCTCTGCCCTGTCTCACCTCCTGCAAGGCGTTCGCCAACTCATGATCCGACTCTACAGTGCTGGTGTGCGATTTCTTGACCAACAAGTGTTGCCCCATGGCCGCCGCGTCCGCCTGCTTGAAGGCCAACTCGTCACCTGTCCGCGAGGACTGGTCACATGCGCCGTGAGCATGCTCAGAAATCCAACGCTGCAGGAGGCATCCCGGACATCTCATTAACCCATGTCATCCGCGTTTCCAAAGCACCTTTTTAACCCCAAATCCGCCAAGTGCCAGCTGGAAAGAAGCTTTTTCTGGGCTTCCAGCTGGGCTTCCAGCTTGGTGCTGCGAGCATTCACACCACATCCAGCGACCCGCAAGAGAAAGACACGAAGATGTTGCAAACGTTGCGGCGATCAATGGATGGAAAATACAGGGAGATAGGCAGGACAAGCGACCGAAACTCCAACCGCTACAATGCCTATAGTACTTGGCTACTGCTATGCTGCTATACTGCTATTAGACATCAACAGGAATCAAACACATCCTTTATTGAGATTTTGCGATAATTAAAGTCACTCCCACATATATTCCCCTCCGGATGTATGATGTCTGCGTTTCGCCATCGTTTCGCCTTCGCAGCTGGGATCCACCACGCTCAAGTAGGCGATGGGTGGTACAGTGCCATAGAGCGCTCGACACCAACAGTCGCCGGGGCAGTCGGGGTTCGCCGCGTGGCGTCCCAGACCTATTAGCGGGCGAAGTGGGGGTAGCGAAGCGTGGTGGTTCGGCAAGCTGGGCTAATGTATTTCGTCCAAAAACGATCACTTTCAACAACAAAACATTGGTTGCTGTCATTGTTTGTCTTGTTTTGATACTCGTCACATGGAGGTTTTGGTGGCGTCTTCACAGAAGTCTAGCAGTTACTGCTATCCGGCTTAGGGCATAAGAGTAAATGGCTTTGGAGCTTCGTTTGATTCGTTTGGAGCTGGGTGTTGGATGGCATCCGGTTCCAACCGACCCGGTTGGATCCCGCGCTGGGCACGGGTGCCAAAGGTCAGGTCGGTTGAGCCTTCCGTTCGCTTGACCGGGAGAGAGCCATGCACTGTTTGAGCAAACTCAAGGAGGAACCACATCCTGTTTGCATAAACCTATAAGGCCAAATGCTCTTTTTATCGATATTAAGGCACTGATATACACAGAACAGTTGGCAGGAACTTCCCTGAAAGGACCCCCCCCTTTCCAAAAACAACACAAACGAACATAAACTAACCAACTAACATCTTCAAGTAAACCATCCAGTTGACCTGAAGCCGTATCCGTCAGAAAGACACACGCAAGGCTGCAAACGTCGTGCTTCTCCAGCGCGATGGCCACGGCATCGTCCCAAAGCTCGCTATATTTGCCCGGAAAGGAGGCGATACAACTCTGGGCCTCTGGATTGATAGCTCCTGAGTCTGAGTCGCCTACTTAAAGGCGACTCTGCGCAGTGAGATCAATGGAAAGAAGACCATTTGGACATCTGAAATCAATGCAACCCTGCGACCCCTGCACTTCCCACACAAATCCAAGGTAGCCTTCGAACTGGCTCTTCCGGCTCAGCTCTTTCGAACGGATGACACTTGCACCATCTTGCACCCCATTCCATCCCAGTCCTCTCTTGACCTCTCCAGCCCGTCCACCCCACTCTCTCTCGCTCAGGTCGGTCTCCTGGAAAAGCCACGCGTTTGAAGGCCAAGCCCAAGCCAGCCTCTTCGGCCAATTGATGGAAGGCCTCCAAAGGACGTGCCCACTCCTCCGCACCGTGAGAAGGGTGGAACCGAAGGGGAACCGACCACGAACCAGGCAAACGCATGTGTACACAGACCGACTGTTGAGTGTTTTCCCCCAATAGCTGGCTTGTCAACAGGTGAATCACCAAGTGGATTTTAACACTATGTCACTATGTCACTTAGTCATTGGATGCTTAGGACAAAGACACGTTTACTATAGACGTCCAAAAAGAAAGACTTTGTTGCAAAAACTCCTTCCAACCCAGCATTCCACTGAGCAGTAGAGAGTTGAAGATCTGCAGGCTGAAGTCCAGAGTGAGCCAATAGGACTGAGAGATGTAGAAGAAGTCAGTGGTTTGCCTCGGCCAAGCCGTGGTGAAAGCCTTGACGTTCGCTCCTCTTTGTCTTGGTGGCCTGGTTTTTGTTTTTGTCCTCTCCCTCTCTTTCTGAAACAGGACATTGAAACTACAAGAGACATAATGAACAAACACAACCAAGTTCAACATAGTTCAACAACTATACAAAAATCCTGCATGCAAACCAGCAAAGGGATGCAACGGGCTCCAATATGCATGGAACCAAACAAAACCAAACCGTTCCTTTTTTGTTCAAAGCCAAACACATCCCCACGTCACTTTCCCACCGAGTCGCACCACCAGGGTATAAAAGGACAACGCCGGCCCCAAGACGATGAGCACCGCATTGGTCCACAAGCAACACACCGTCGACTGAATCTCGTGCCACTCGTAGCGGCCGACGGCACGACAGGCCTTCGTCGTGAGACTCAAGGACTGAAGCCTTCGTCGAGACGAGAGAGAGGCGAAGCGAACAGTGCGGCATCGAGAGCTGAACATCGAGGCTGGTTGTTAGATGTTTTACGTAAGAATGCTCCGTTCGTAAGGCCAGGAGCCCCGAACGTAGCGTCCGATCGCTCCTGTTGTTGATGGTTTAAACGGTGCGTCACAAAATGCACCGTTGGAAGTGATGCACTAGAAACACCCGCATGGCGCCGCTTGATTCGTGGACCCGTTCCTGATCCCAGGTGGCCATGTTCAACCATATATATAGGATACACGCCTTGTAAGGCACAATATGTTGAACCATGGCATGTGCAACAAGGTGACCAGCTTTCCCTGGCCGTGAAAAGCAGCAGTTCCAAAGTTGCACGCAACAAAAACACAAACAACCACAAACAGCACAGCTTGTTTCAGCGGATTTTTTGTCTGTTGCGGCTGAGCAGCAGCACCACTGCCAGGAAGAGCAAGACCAGGGGGATCAGGAAATATCGCGCCCAGGCGTTGATGGGTTCATCCCAAATGCTGCGGATCAAGTACAAGACCAAGGTGCCAATGGCTGTGACTGGGACCAGAATCATCAGTAAGCTCACGTCCTCAGTAAGCTCGTTGTGGCCAACAAAAGCAGCAAGCAGCAAGCACATGACGAGAACACACTCCAAAAAAAAAGAAACAACAAGGGTTTGACGGTTTGGCTGATCTTAGTTCTTCTATACTATGTTCTTCTTACTAGGGGGTCTTCTTCTTGAAAGTATCTTGAAGGACCTGGGAGGGTCCCGGTGATTTAGCTTGTTGAATTGAGATTTGGACCCACAACTACAAAAGAAAAGGATAAAACGCGAACATATAAGACACCAATTAGTGCTTTTGTCAATGTGATTTTACTGTGTTTTTTAGCTTGTTGCGTTAAGAAAGAACCCCTCCTGTTTCGGCCGCACCATGGCACAGCCCAGGCTTCTGTACACCTTGCCAAGCGCCTGGAACCTAAAGATCGAAGCTTTAGGCTGGTGCAGCGCACTTGCATCGCATTGGAGACCATTTGCCAAAAGGCCAAGAGGAAGGTCGGTGCTTGAATGATATTCCTCAACGACCAAGGGCAGTGCCCACGAGAAAAAATCCCATTTTTGCAAAACATCTACCAGATCTGCACCGCCCACAGGATTGGGCCACAAAGACTCGAAACTCGTAGCGCTATTTGCTCTCCCCAGGTGGGGTGGAACTGCGCCGCAGTCAGGACTGCTGGGCCAAGTGGAACGAAGCCAGGATTCCATCACTGGATTGCAAGGGACGTGCGCAAAGAACGGAAACCGAATCCGCAACCAACCCAGAAATTTGCAAATCAACACTTCTTACTGAATATAGATATGATTTGATTGAAGAGAGCTAAGAGTACCTCCTGGGTTTGGACATATGGAACTTGTTGAAATGAGGGAGTGGAAACATGTTTACCTCGATCAGTCCTGACTTGTCGACATTCACAGCACCGGTAACATGCACCTTGCACTTCAACTTCTTAGGGATCGCCAGCAAGTTCCCCCCCCTGGAACCCACTTAGTCACACTTTCCCCCAAAGGAAACAGCCGATCCAACACATTGAAGTAGAAACAATTTGACTGATGCCCTCCGGACATCTGTTTTCAGATCATCAAATCTGAGACCCGCTATTGCCCTCCAAACCGTATGTGTAGTATATATTGACAAACCATCTTCGCCCTCTCTCTTCTGCCACACTTGGACCCCTGAAATCATCAACTCCAAGTCTGGTTCCAAGAGTCCCCTCAGCCAGCCACTGCCGGAACCACGGATCCCAAAAGGGCACCGCCAGCAGCAGCACGTTGCGCCGGCTCCAGCGGTGCAGCGGCCGAGCCGAGAAGCGCTCCGGGCGAAGGAGGAAGATCAAGAGGCCCAGACCGGTGATGACCGGGCGGACGACGAGGTCCGGCGCGCCGAAGCCCGGGTGCCTTCGGGATCGGAGAAAGTGAGGGTCCCGGAGGGTAGAGGACATGGGAGAGAAGCAGTGCGGAGTAGGCTGGTTTGAGACCTTCTCTAGAGGGTGGGGAAGTGGGGGGAAGTGGGGATCGATCAACTTCTCTAATCACTGGATGATGTTGTGAGGGTTCTTTTTTTTTGGGTTTTGTCAACGGAGTGATCTGGGGAGCTGCTGGCTGGGTCACAGTGAAGGAACATGGATCCGCATGTGGATGATCAAGAGGTCAGGTGTTTACCCCAAAGAACGTACTATACATTGGGTGTATCCAATTCCCTGTAAGAGTGGATGATGACGTTAGTTTGCTGGCTGTGGACCTCAACTCTTGAGAAAAAACTGGGGGACCAATCACCAGCAAGCACATGACATCTTGCAAGGAAACAAAACCCTATCAAACCATGTCTCTGCACCCCAACAAAAAATACCAAAAAAACACAAAGGAAATGACTTGAACAACAGAATCCTCCTCTCAGCTGCATCTCCGTCCAGATGGAGTGTCCAATGGTTTCCACCATCACCACGTTCGCCACAATGCGTGCAGCGGTGTAGAGGATCACTGCAGCTACGGTCAAACGCTTTGTACATCCTGGGAGTGGCTGAGGTGGCAACATAGGAAGGAGCATACACATCATATGTTCCCCAAACACATGATGTTTAGAGACCCCGTTTCAAGACACACAAACACTATTTAAAACATAAAACACTTTAATAATTTAATATATTTCGTTTAAACTTCTATATAATCCAGGGATTGTCTGAAGCTTAACTCTCTTGTGCGAGGATTCCTCCAATAACATGGTCGATTCCTCCCTTCCATCCCCTCTAGAACATACGAACACCTATGTGGAACCTACAGGGGGGGACGTTCCGCTTGCCAAGCATTGCCCTAGAAGATCGCCTCGAGGCTTGAGTGGTCAAGTAAAACAGGAACATCTCGAAGCCTCCAATTGCCAATTGCCCTGGCCTTTTTCGAGACATACACTGCACTCTCCCCAACACTCACATGGACAGGCACCTGGGTCGTCCGTTTCTCCTCTACACACTCGTCCGTCCGTGGTGAAACCTGGGTGCCAAGCATCTGTTCATGCTTGGATATGAGCGATCGAAGGTGAAGGTTCTCGTGGCGATGGGTGGAGGCAAAGAAGCTTTGCCAGAGCCGCTCCCAGATCTGGACATCGATGGGCGGAGCCGCGAGTTCTTGGCGCAACAGCACGCCATGGCATGTAGCGACAGGAACCCTGAAGGATTTCTTAAACGATGCCTGTCGGGAAGAAACGAGGCAGAAGAAACTGCCAGGGGCAGGTGAAGTCAGCTATGACGTCATCTGCTTAGCTGGGGTTCTTTTGTGGTCCGGGTTTGATGTCAGCAACAAAGGACTCCATCATCGGCTGACCAAACTGTGTTGGAAACTTTTTGCTGACTGTGACTGGGGGATACTGGGGGGATCTTTTCTTTAAAACCATTTAAACCTCTGATTTCCAGCATTTCGACATTTGACACCCACATCTTCTCAAGCCACAATAGCGAAGCGGCGAGGCTGTATCCCTTCAATCGAGGCCGTATCGCTGCGCACTCACGAAAGGGCCCTCATGTTTCTTGTTTTTGACTTCATTACTTTTTTTTGCTCTGGCTCCACTTCAACATCTTTGTGAATTGAAGTCGATCAGCTTATTATATAGCATCCAGGACCTATCAGGGCCTATCAGCCATGATCTGGTTGAGACCTCAAAGTCATCACCAGCATAGAGACTCATAGCCAAAACAGCTTCAAACATCGATCGAGGTCAGAGCGGTTTGAGCTGCGCTCCGCTCGCTTCCCCGATGCATCCTCGCGATAGAGCTTGGCCGCCCGGTGCAGGGACGTCACGGCGTTCAGCTCGTCCATCACCTGCGCTCGCGCGACGCAGCGGATTCCGAGCCGCCGAGGCGGGCCCAAGGGGTGTGAATTGGGGCCGTATAGCCTTTCCTTTGACCTCCGAGCCCTCCACTCCATCCATTCAAAAATGAACGGTAGCAGTCTAAAAATGTCCAAAACAAGACAATTTGATAGAGGTAAAATCTGGAGAACAAGGATGAACAATGGTTCCGGATTGGAACCCGTCAATCAATGGTGGGATTCCTCACCGGACGGGGTGCAGAATTTCAAGTTCCCACGCAAATGATGTCAAACGTCAGACTGCGTCACATCAGTGAAGTACCTATATAGTAGGGTGTTCAGATGTGTTCAGACCTATATGGCACTATAAAAAACATGGTCTTTCTGCATGAATTCTTGTAGAATTGGGGCCATGTGCAAGCTGTGAACCCACTTGGACCCTTATCTAAAGGCATCCCCTTATCACATCTTCCTGGTGACACGTCGTGACCAACGCACCGCCCGCTGCAACACGAGCCGACTGCTGTCCGCCGACCTCGCCCCTCTCCAGTGCATGGTCTAAGACCTGCTGCCAGCTATTCAGCCGCATGATCTCCTGTCGTTTCATCGGCTCTGATGGTGATGGTGAAGTGGTGATTCATCGGGCCAATCCCTGACTGATGAAAATCATGGAACATGTGGGAAACGCCTTCAATGGCAGCAACTGTTGTCTCTCGTGTTGTTCGTTGCACCATGGACACATCTTGTCAGCGGCCGTATTCCTGGAGAAAAAAGATCATAGTCATCCTGGATGAACCTTCCCAGCGCCAGCTGCCACCAACCCAAATCAAACCAGCTGCACCAGGTTGCCACCCCCACCTGCACCAGCTGCACTTACCCAACCTGCACCAGCCACCCCCACCTCGCCCCCAATCCATCCCTCCTCGTTCACCGGTACCGTCAGCACCCCCATGGCGCTGGTTCATGAGCAGCTTCTGTTTTTACGTTCGCTTCCAGCTTTTCCGAGCAGGTGGAGTGGATTGGGGGATCCGGATTCCTTGGTGGCCCTGCAATCAATGCTTCCACTTCTTTGGAATGAGTCCAACGAAACTTGGTGGATGATATTACCATTCCACCTTCAATTTTGGGATGGAATCAAGCCCGGCAGTGGAAGTCAAACAAGCATCAGTGATGAAACCCGTGATCATCACGTGTCGTGGACCATGAAATCAATGAACTGTCGGTATACGAGCACGGGTGGGCTTGCAAGGTGCAAACCCTTCACCTGCGGCGAATTGATCCGTCCACGGGCCAAGGACTGTTCTAAAACTTCCTGCATATCAACATACCGTTTCCCATCCGTTTCCTTCCTCCATATACTATCGTATACTTCGTCATCCTCTCAAGAAGTCGGAACGGATGGACCGCTGGGGCCGATCGGAACGGATCGGGAAATCGGGCGCCCGCGGAGGGACCGGTGCGACCGGTGGGTTTGGAGTGAGAAGAAGACATCTGAGAAAAGCCCCAGTTCTGTGCCACCTGGGAAAAGAGCCACCCACTTGTTTGTCTTAAATGTTTCTTATGACCCTTTCTCCCATGCACCGCCCCCTGCACCTGGCTGCACCTGACCCTGCGAGGCAGGCACTCGGGGCACTGGGGCCGGTCACCGTTAAGAGGTGAAGTAGGTCGCAACTGCTCATCCTTTGGTGATTTGGCGAAGAGTCCAAATGAATCAAACAGGTCCTGGGGTGCTCGGTGCTTGCTTCCATGTCGAATCCAACTGGGTGCTCACTTCGGGTTCGTACTATGCAGGATGCTGGTTCACAGCAAGGTCCTCTCACCGTCCAGCAGACAGAGGCCTCGTTCTTCGTTTCAACAACGTTTTCTGCGCATGGTGGATTGGGGCATCTGGAAAATAGAGCAAAAGCATGAATGCACAAGTTGGAAGAGCTCAGAAATTCATCATCTCAGCGTTGAATGACAAACCCTAAACGTTCATTGGTGGGCTGGTGCCGCCACGTCAACCGACTGCCAACGTTCAATCACATCAGTGCCCTGTCCCACCCATTGGACCTGCCTTCCGGACAAGTTGCTCTATCAACCATGCGGACGGAGCTTCAACATGCATTCCAAAACACCATTTCCACCGGTGCACATGCGCAACAGGTTTTTGGGATCAAAAAGCACCGTCATGGCAACTTGGCATCGGATCCGGATCCGGCTGCGGATCCTGCCTCCATCCATTCTCAAGCGCTTGGTGCGCGCTCCACCGTGGCTTTTCAACGGATTTTCCATGTGTGGGGGGTCGCTCTGTGTGTGGATCGTTTCGCAACAGGTGAAATGTTGGACCGACCAACACATACCGTATACTGACTGGCTCTACTCCATGGTTTTTGTTGTTGCCTTGAGACAGTCTTCATACGTCTTCATGTTTTAATCTGTGAGTGCAATCATTCAATTTTGAGGGCCCCTCCAAGTAGGTCTCAGTTCTGGGCAAAGAGAAGTCACTCTGCAGAAGACTGTCAGGCGCTGGTCTGTGTCGCGAAAGGAGTTTGGCCGCTCATGGGCCAAAGGGGCTGCACAAAGTCTGAGGGCATTCCTCTCTTCAGGAATGATCACTCCAGCTACCACATCGTTTCTCAGTTACCGTTTACTATCACCACAGTATTCAGTCAGTATTCAATCCAGAAACAAGTTGGCCGCTTAACGTTGGAAAAAAGGAGCGCAAGCAATCTTGAATCTTAATCCACTTGTACCTTTCACCACGACCTGCGCCTCTCTGGCGCCAACCGCGTCACGTTGTCATACTTGGTCCGTCACGTCGGTCTGCGGAAGACTCGCCCTTTTCACCTTCTTCGGACCTCTGACACTGACGGTGTTCGCCGTGTAAAAAACCTTTGCCACCAATCCGGCCTGCTCTTCAGCTGAGCATCTCACTTCAGCTGACCATTCTAGAAAAGACCGACCATGTTTCCTTGCAACAAAGAGAAACTCCGATGCCGTTCTGTTCGTCCTGCGGTCAGTACTTGGCCTGAAGTCTTCCATCCGATCGGATTGGTAGCGACCCCGCCGGGTGCCAACAAGTGTTCCACGTCGCACACCGTGTTTTTGGTCGCACACGTGGTACGTTTCCGGCTTGTTCGTAGATTTTAGGGCGTATGCCAGATGGTGTCCATATCAAAGAGCACCCTTCCATGGTGTCCACATGCAACAAACGGAGCCGTATACAGGGCTTTCCCTGATCAACAAGTGGTCACTGTTGGGTCCTTCGGGGGGCTTCCTCGTCCGGTTCGGCCTTGCCTCTGGCTCAGGGATTTGCTTTTCTGATAGACACCACGCCGCCCTCACTACGATGTGAGTGGCAATGCATGGATGGAGAGGACCTTTTTCTTCACAAACGGTCTCTTCAGTTGAATGCAACAAATTGACTCTACCTCTGAGTTGGCCAATTAACTAAAACAAACACTCCCTGAAACAATCATGGAAGTGGCAGTGGAAAATGGGCCCTTGGAGGACTTAAGTCTTAAGTCTTCTTCGGTGGGTTTTCAGTTCCGTTCCAGGATTATTTCAGGGAGTGTACGGACACTTCTATGTCCAGAAACTCAACGTTGTCCCTCCATCTGCATCACACGTGAGCACCCACGGAGGAACAAAAACTCTTGCTGCTGAGAGAAACGAACTGACCTAGATTCTGCACAGGGCACCATGCCCGTTCAGTCTGGTGCCGCGAGGGACATCACAAATCAAAAAGCATCTTGGTCACTGCCTTGGTTGCTGCACTCTTGGTCAAGGGCGCTTCAGTTCACACGGACTGTAGCAAAAAGCAAAACGTCAATTTTTGGGGTCACGGACTACAGCATCTGGCCGATCTGCATCTGGCAGCGGAAAGACAGCACACAGAAAACACCCAGAAACAGGTGAAAGATTGAAACATCCTCCTGGCTTGCCGGAAACCGCTTGAACGATGAAACGCCCACGATGAAATGCTTGCCGCTGCTTTCTTTCGTCCGCTCCGCTCCCCCACCTGGGGCTGCGTGCACTTCTCGGTGGGCCTTGGAGGGCGACGCGTCGAGTCGCGGTTGGCGACTGGGGACCATGGACGACCAGGTTGGCGATGTCTGTGACCCGCAACAGGTCCCGATGGCGTCGACTGGTGCACTGCGGCATTGACGTGCAGTGATGCACTGCAGGACTGCAGGACACTAATGCCATGCACTTTGCGGACTCATTGAGACCTCGGTTCTTGCAAAGGCCTCAGTACAGCAGCCCAGCTGCTCGGAGTGAATGATGGAGACTGAGGAGTGTGACAGACATGCACGGACCACCAGACTGGCACGGAGGTTGGGAAACGAACCTGGCGACA